GAGGCCCAGGGAAACCATCCACAGTGAGGCTGCATCGCCAACCAGGAATGACCAAACTCTCGCTCTTTTTCTTACAAGAATCAAAAAACCAACAAAAATCCTCCTTTGCAGAGGGTCATGCACATAGTATTTTTCAGGATGGCTGGTTGTGTTAATAGATTTAATCTTAGGGAATTATCTTGAGCACCAAGAGATACCAAGACCCTCTCCTTCGCATATATGAATCTTATTTGAGATTGAAGAGAGAAGTTTTCGGACGTGAGCCTGCCCCTTAAGGACAGGAGAGGCCGGGGTGCCTCCATGGATGCTTTATCACCTGCACACCAAGGTGACCTGGGCCACAGCTACCCAAGTGCAATCACCAGGGAGTCGGTAATGGCAGGGCCACGGGGGCCGAGTCCACATCCAAAGGCATAAATATTCGCCAGAGTGCGATATTACCTTTTCCATTTAGAACAACAGCTTTTAAGTGTGTAATTTATCCTGAAAAGGTAAATCATTTTGCCTTTATTAGAACACAAAGTTGAATGTGTGTTCCGCCCACACCACTGGATCAAATCTTGAAGCACTCAGCTCACGGGAGGCCATCTTTGTGTACGTTTAGTGATGGATTTTTAAGCCACTTGACAAAAATCTGATTGACTCTATCACGGAACATCCTAAGAACCGTCTCTTTTGTTCACTTAGTCACCAAGGACTCTGCTCTGAAGTATACTGTGAAGTGCTATCTGAAATTTTTTTATTGTTTTTCACGATTTCAACTCATGAAGGCCATAATCTACTTTGAAACCGCTTTCTAGAACACAGGCCGCACAGAGCCAGCACTGGAGACCTGGACCGCTCGTCTCCCAAATTTCAGGAGGGCTTCTCTCTTCCCGTGCAGGGGGCACAGCAGCCTCCAGACCCAGACCCGCGCGTCCTAAAACACCTCTCCCTGCCACGCACCCTCGAGTGAACTCAAACCGAACACCAGTGAACCAGGGGGCCAGACGTCACTGTCACTCCATTTTGTTTCAAAAAGCTTTTCTCCAAATTTAACTCTTCCTGAAGAGTCTACACAAAAATATTTCAAAGTTAAATTAATCACTTTGGACAAAATCTGTTTCATTGTCATGTGAATTATAAATTGCCACCCTGCAGTGAGGGAGAAAATGAAGAATTATCTTCGGTTAACGTAATGTAAATAAAAGGAATGTCAACTTTATCTTCTCCAAAAGCAACGATTTAAAAAGGTCTGTTGAATTAAACAGAGCACGTTTCTCCTCGGCTCAGCTCCCGCTGAACTGAGGACACTGGGACGGACGGGGCTCAGCCTCAGTGAAGACCTCACCTTCTCTCCGCCCTGAGTCACAGGAGAGAGATCACTGTCTTGTGAGGACATCTTTTTCCTTAATCAATCTCAGGACAACAGCACCATTTCGCTGAGAAACATTCTCTCTTGTCTGATTTGGAGCGACGGCATCTTAGACATGCAAGTATTTGGCTTAATTAAGCCTCAGGAGAGGAAGTTTTTAAAATGAAGTAACGAACGATCTAACAGATTAAAAAGGAAGTTTACAAAGTAAATTCTACCTGCCCTCATTTTTTATCTGTTGAAGACCAGCTCCAAAAATGGCGCAGCGGATGAAAGGCCCCTGCAGCTTCTGGGCCTTGGGAGACAGGCTCTACACTACCTGTGCTCCCGTAGTTCCATCTGGAGCAGCCCCGAAGCTCTCACACCTGTGCTTCAAGGCCCGTGACGGCCCCCAGAACTCAGACTCACCACAAATGGAGGCTGCGGTTAGGAGACGGATGCAGCAGATCAGGCCAGTATATCCTCATGTCTGGCAAAAGGTCCTGTGCAGAGTGACAGCGATAATAATAAATCGAGGTAGGACCTAACAACTCAAAACCTAGAGGGCAAATCTGAGAAACTAATACATAAATAGAACTGAGCTCTGTGAATTAATAACACTCAGGTGAGTAAAATGATTCTGGGTTTATTTTGCATGAAGTGTTTCTTAAGATGTATCTAAACGTGAAATCTGGGTAACCATGAAAGTGTATTTGAAAATACAAGCTCTGACAGGTGAATGGATAAACAAATTGTGTCCATCCACATAATGGAATATTATTCAGCACTAAAAAAATGAGCTATCAAGCCATGAAGATACATGGAGGAACCTTAGTACATATCACTGAGGGAGAGAAGCCAACCTGAAAAGGCTACCTACCGTATGATTCCAACTACACGACATTCTAGAAAAGGCAAAACAATGGAGACAGTGAAAGTCAGGGGTTGCCAGGGGTTGAGGTTGGGGAGGGATGAACAGGCTGAGCACAGGGGACTTTTAGGGCCGTGAAACTACTGTGTATGATATTATAATGGTGGATACATGTCATTACACATTTGTCCAAACCCATAAAAACCACACAACACAAACCTAACGTAAACTATAAACTTTAGTTGGTAATAAGGTATTAATACTGGCTCATCATTTGTAACACGTGTACCTCACTAACGCAGATGTTTGCACTGGGGGACGCTGTACAGGGTAGGGGCATGGGGGGAAGTGTGTGGGAACTCTGTCCTTTCTACTTTGGAAATTTTCCGTTTTAGGTTTCTAAAACTGCTCTAAAAAAATAGTGTCTACTAATGAAGTCAAACACAAAATACAAGTTCTCACTCTCCCTAGAGAAGAGCTTGTCTGGCCTGGGCAGTCTTAGCCCTACACTGGTCAGTCACCCTGAACTGAGCAGCGTTCAAGTTTACTTTCCAATTCCCACACACCCACGAGGCCAGGAAAGGTTCCATTAAAAGAAGATGTGTAACCAGGCCCAGGATGACCTCACCTTCTCAGTCCTGCCACCACTCCCACTGTGATGGGTCCTTCCCACCAACCCAGCAGCTATGAACCGATTTCACACACTGCCCCTGACCTCACACGGCTGGACATCTCCCCGGACGCTGCCCTCCCTGACTGTCTCCATTCCCACCTACCCTCCGCCTGCCACAAGCTGGCTTCAGCCCCCATAGCCCTCGGGGGAGCCGGGTGACGATATAATTTATTGCCCAAACTAGGCTGCTTTTGTTTGGGACAGATGCTAGATTGGACACTCTGCTACAAAGTAAAGCGGCACTGTTCTGAACAAAGGGCAGCTGCCGGTCACCTCATGGCCTGGGCCCACAAGCCCTCCATCCAAAGGGCCCCCCGCCTTCCCTTCAGGAACCCTGGTTACACTCCTTCGCGAAGCTCCCCTCTGGCTGCTTCTCCGCGTGGCGCTCGTCCTTCCTGCTCTAAACGCCAGGGCTACTGGAGGCTGGTCCCTGCCAGCTCCACACTACCCCATCCGCACTCACGCGTACACCTTACTGACTGCGCTGATGCCGAAGTTCATCTCCAGCTCAGACCTCTCTCCTGACACACTTACCCGACCTGGATGCTTCCAGGGCACTTCAAACTCAACGTGTCCACAGCTGACCCTCGATCCCATCTGCCAAGGCGCGGTCCCCTGGGCGGGGGAAGGAGGCTGACACCCACCTAGTTAGACAAGCCCCCACCCGGAGTCGGTCCTGCCTGCTGCTTCCTCCCCCTCCATCCCCACAGCCTCCGTCTATTCCAGGCTCCTGGCCTCTGGCAGGGACCCTGCAGAGCCTCCTCACTTAACAGGCAGGCAGCCGGGGCAACCATAGAAAAGCCACACTGGCTTCCTTCACTCTCCAGCTTGAATGCTTCCAACGACTTCCCTCTGGGTCTTCACGCAGACAAACGATCCTTAATCAGTACACAGGCTCTGTAGGACCTGGCCCTCAACACTGCCCCGGCCCACTGCTCACCCCCCCAGCCACACTGGCTTCCCCCCAGTTTCTCAAAAGCTCCGTCCTACCCCGGGGCCTTTGCACATTCTCCTGCCCCAGCCTTCCTCTCCCGTCTCCTGGTTAAGTCGGATTCCAGCCCTCTATCACCTCCTCAGGGGTGCCTGGCCCAGGTCCACCATCCTAAGCTCTAAGTACTCTCCCCCCAGGCACTCCACTTGTCACTCTGTGATGTGTGTGCTGGCTCCCGGCTGCAGGCAAGGTGGCCAGAAACCTCGTCCTGCTCTGCTCCCCGTGTCCCCAGCCCCTGGCCCGGTGCCCGATACACTGCAGGCATGCAGAACATTGTTATGAGTAAATTAACCTGGATGCCGCTGCAGGATCACAAGACCCTAACCAGGAACATTAGCGGGAGTCGAAGTCAGTCCGGGAAGAGAAAAGTATGTCTGAGGAAAGAGACCTCACCAGGCTTTGGGGCTCTGGCCTCTCAGGCCTCCAGGCTCACAGCACTGAAGGTCCTCATGAGAAGGAAAGAGGAGGAAATAATTCCATTTGGACTAGAACCTGTGATGAGTTTGGAACGAATTACCTTGTCCTCCTGGGGGCCACACACTCCTGGAAAGGGTCCGTAATTCTACCCCATGTTTTCAGGGAGGCCTCAGTAACCGCACAGGCCCTGCCCTGTGAATCCAGGTACTAGTTACCTTGAAAGCTGACTAGTCACACATGAGGGGTTGTCAGCACCCTGTGGAGAGGTGAACACACGCGTGTGCACGTGTGCGCGTGTAGGTGTGTGTGCACATGCAGAAGGAGTGTCTGCTACCAACTCTCGTATACCCCAGTGCCAGGAGGCCCTCTGTACCACGAGCCTTTGTCCTAGAAAGGCCCACCGCTCCCTCGCTGCTCACAGGGCCCACTGAGAAACCCACCCTGCCCGCAGCCAGCAAGGACAGCCTGGGGGCCACGGCGCCTCTGCAAGCCAGGGCCGCGCACACACGCCTGAGCACATGCCGAGCGGCCGGGGGTCCTGGAGCAGGGATGACGGGCCGCGGGCTGGGGCCAGGGTTACCTCACACAGTCACTGTGGCGCTTCGGGCCCGGGGCAGAGGAGGATTTAACTAAATGCAAATCATATTTAACTTGTGGGACTATTTCAGATATCAGTAAATGCTGGTGAATATATCTTAAAGCATGACTTTGAGGGCACACATAGAGGAGGAATGAATCTATTGGGAGATTGGGATTAACACGTACATGCTGCTCTATTTAAAATGGGTAACCGTAGCACAGGGAACTCTGCTCAATATTATGTGACAACCTGAATTTGAAAAAGAGTAGACCCATGTGTATGTATAACTGAATCACTTTGCTGTACACCTGAAACTAACACAACATAGTTAATCAACTATACTCCAATATAAAATAAAAAGTAAAAAAAAAAGTTAATACCTTTATCTCTTCTGGATTAAAATGCCAGGATCGGTTACATCCTTCACCTTTATCAGGCCTTGAAATTAAAATTGAACAAATAAAGAGAAATTAGTCTTGGTTGGGCTGGTTCCAAACGGCATGAGAAAACACCTGCGTTAAGGTCTGTAGAGAACGAAAGGGAGGTGACTTCTAACGGGGAATTCCTTCTGCCACGTGAGTCATGCTCGGGCACAAGCGGTCACTATCGGAGTTTCTTTCAAAGTGGAAAGTCCTTCAAAACATCCAGGCACAATGCAGACCGGCCGACTTCCTAGCAGAGGAAGCAAATTAAACAAGCCGGTAGGGGGCGCCCCGGAGCCGGCCCGGCAGGGATTTCTGGCCGGGTTCTGAGTCTGCAAATGTCCACTCATCAGCCACAGTGTGAGAAGAGCATGAGTTCCCGTCTCCTTAAAGGCGACGAGGATTAATGGGACAACATATGTATCATGCTCAGAAGTGCCTGGTGACGGCTTAAGATTGGCTGGTATGTTTCTTTCAGCACCGAGCACGTGCACCCTCCCGACCTGAGCATGTGACGCTGTCCTCCACGTGTCTAATTCCGGACGTGTCAACTCTCAGCCTCCACCTGCAGCTGACATCATGAGGGACCAAACCTGCTTTCCCCAGGGTCGGCAGGCCAGCCCAGCACCCGAGATCAGCCCAGCTCCCAGGGTGCTGGGTGCCGTCCCCCAGCTCAAGGACAGCCGAGGACGTGAGCAAAATCCCAGAAACCCAAAGGTGGGATGAGGCCAGGTCCTCAGGCCTCAGTTTAATTTGCTTCCTGCCGACCCCTGTCCCTGAGGGACGAGCAGCCCAGCACGAGGCAGGATGGCCCTCCTCTCGGGGAGAAGGGGGACCAGGCCGATCCCTTTGGGCAAATTAGCACACACAGTTCAACATCACAAATATACGCACATACAACATCACAAATCACAAATCACAACATCACAAATCACAACATCACAAATATACGCACATACAACAAAAAGATAAACTAAGCAAAATGCAGGCAAAACCAGAAAAATAAATTTGGGTGTCTGTGAAGTAGGTATACTATACATACACATCATATACATATATATATATTTAATATACACACATTTATTTATTTACTTATTGTTATACATTTACTTATTGGCCCCAAAAGAAAATAAGAAAATTAAGATTTAGTGATCTAAAATGTATTGAGAATCCTTAAATGCATATTTAAACTAGACTGTTACTGTTCTATCAAAACAGAACTCAAGTACAACAGAAGTAAGGTTATGTTAGAAAGACTAAAGATGTTTTTCAATTAGGATCTGGTCTATTGAGTAAACTCCTAACAAATCACAAGTACACACATCAGGATCAGACTCAAGCTAGATCTCCAGGTCAGCCAGCTTCTGAGGCTGCTGAGGCTTTCAACGCATGTAGTACTTACCATAATCCGTGTATGGTCCAGTAATCTGGGGGGTCTTTGCAGTGGTTCTTAACTTCCTATGGAGAAAAGACAGAGAAGACAGCTGGTTTGTTGTTTGTTAAATACACTTAACAACCTTCCTTTCTTTTGACAAATATCAACAAGATCCAATACACGACTAACACGAAATAAGTTCCGTGGTAATTTACCATAAGCAATATTCATGAGAATACCACGGGGAGGGGGGCGGCTGGATATTTCATTGGAAATGAGTGAACCAACGATTTAGAAGACAGAATTTAATAGCTACTTTTGTTCTTTTTATGTGCTTGAAAATTAAGCCAATCTGATGGATACACTCATACTTACCCATGAATAATTTTCTTGTCATACAATCAAAAATGAGAACAAGAGGCTGACGGTATCCTGCTAAACTCGAGTTTGCCCAAATACAACAGCGGAATAATAAGTATTGAAAATTTGGAGCCAAGAAAAATGCCAAGGTGAGAATAGGAGCATATCCTTAACATTAAAGATAAACTCTAGAGATAAAAATCTCAGTGTAACACGTTTTAGGGACCTCCAAATTGTTTAGCTAAAATGGGGTTTTCCCAAAACAATAATCACCTCAGCTATCAGGCAGTGGGTCAGAACCCAGGCCCAGTAGCACCGCAGTGAATAAGCAAATGAATAGTACATGCCGGGTCTGGTGAGGAGTGCTGAGGCATCCTGCTGACGTGCAAGCCCCTCCTGTTTGAATCACCTTTTGATGGAGGGAGGCTGCTGCCTTTTACGGTTGGTCTGGAGATGAGGGCAGGCCTGGTTTAGGTGCCTGAAATGTCTGATGTGAGGCTACAGAGCAAGGGGGTAGAGGGCGGGAGGACAAAGTGTGGGATCAGAGCGAGAGGTCATGGACTTCATCTCATCCCCAAGGAAACCACATCCAAAGCAGGTGGGCCCTTTCCCACAGTGCGAGGCTGGGGACGGGCAGAGACAGGCCCCAGCGGGGATCTTCCTACCTCAGCTCTACACCCAGCGTCTCAGATGAGCCTTTAAGGGGGTAACTGAGGTCAAGGTGCCGCTTTCTTTCCCGCGTCAGCAAGCATTCGTGACCACTGAGGACAGACCTGTCCCTGCACCTGTAATGCGTACATCGCTCACAGGGGCAGGAGCCCAGAGACGGCCCTGTCCCCAGGATGACACTTAACTGGGATAGCAGGACCCTTGTCATGGCCGCCCTGGATCGAAATGAATCCCCTAACAATGATATTTTGCTAGTAATTGATTTTTTTCATTTCATTTCTGAAGCCTCAAGGCAGTAATGCACTTCCATGCATATTTAGTCAGCACACAGGACACCCACAAGTTTCGTCCCAGGCCCTGAAGGCAAATCTCCCAGTGTTACCCAGGGTAGGAGCTCCATACACAGGTCCGTCCTGAAGGAACCCACGGCTCCCATGCGTCCTCACTACGTAGGAGTGAGAGCTAGATTCCCAACAAAACTGAAAACAGCTTACAGGCAACTCCATTCTACCCACGGCCAACTGTCCTCCCTACCCTGGAGCAAAGAACCAGCACCAGAGGGAGAAAGACACAGGAAGTTGTAAAGTTTGGGAAACTAAAACCAGAGCAGTCTAATACAGTAAGAGATCCCCTGTTAGAAATGAGTTTCCAGGGGCAGCGTGGTGGCTGCCAGGGGTGGGGCTGGGGAAACAGGGAGAGAGATGCTCCTCAGAGGGTACAAACCTCCAGTTATAAGATGAACAAGCCTGGGGATCTAACGAACAGCGGTGATCACAGCGAATAACGCTGTTTCACGCACTTGAATGCTACAAAGAGAGCAGACCTCTAATGAGCAGGTCTCACCACAAGAAAGATGCGGTGGCCGTGTGTTGGGGGTTGGTAGCCGTGTGATGGGGGGGGTGGTAGCTAATGCTATGGTGACGAGGCTTTGCCATTTACACATGTCTCCGCCTCCCAGCACTTACGAAAAGGCCTCAAAATTGAGAATTTTCAAGTCAAAATTTCAGAAACACTGTCAAAAAAATTAGGGCCAGCTGAGCAATATGATGAAATGACTTTAGAGTCGTGACACCAATACCAGGATCGGCGCGACAACTGCCCCCAAGATGGACGGGCGGGACACGGCCCGCAGGCAGCAGGAGGGGCGCCAGCTGGCTGCTCTCGGGACAGAGCCTCTGCAACATGCTCTACAAGGACAAGGGCACCAGGCGAGGCAGGGCCAGACGGAGGCCACCCTGAAGGAGGGAAGGCGCCATCTGTGCCGAGCAGAGCAAAGGAGGCCGGCAAGGCTCCAGTGGAGACATTTTAAAGAGACTTGCGATAGTGGACGGAGGGGACAGGTCAAGGCCTGTCCCCGGAGGGCATACTGAAGTCCTAACCCCAGGCCCTTCTGAATGTGACTTTATCTGGAACAGGGTCTCTGCAGGTATCATCAAGTTAAGAGGAGGTCAGACTGGATGAGGGTAGGCCCTCAGTGCAATCCCGGGGGCTTCCCTGGTGGCGCAGTGGTTGAGCATCTGCCTGCCAATGTAGGGGACACAGGTTTGGGCCCTGATCTGGGAAGATCCCACAGGCCGCGGAGCTACTAGGCCCATAAGCCACAACTACTGAGCCTGCGCGTCTGGAGCCCGTGCTCCGCAACAAGAGAGGCCGTGACAGTGAGAGGCCCGTGCACCGCGATGAAGAGTGGCCCCCGCTCGCCACAACTAGAGGAAGCCCTCGCACAGAAACGAAGACCCAACACAGCCAAAAATAAAAAAATAAAAAAAAAAAGGAATGGAAAAATAAAAAAATAAACAGACACACGGATGGAGACCACGGCACGGAGGCGGGGCAGAGGCTGTGCCTACAAGCCAAGGAGCGCCGGCACCGCCACAAGCCAGGAAGAGGCCTGGAGCACATTCTCCCTCAAAACTTCCGGAAGGGGCCTGCGCACCTTGGTTTCAGACTTCTGACCCCCAGAACTGGGAGAATACATTCGTGATGCCTGAGCCAGCCACCGCCGTCTGTGGGCCTGTGTCACCGCCCCCAGAACCTCGCGCAAGGCCCTCCCCAAGGGACGGTCTCCGGCTGGGAAGGCGCCGCCTCGTGAGGCAGGACAGGCCGGGAGGTTCGGTCAGCAAGAGGCGCTCAGCGAGAAAACCTGCTGGGCAACCTCCTCTTCAACGGGGGGTGGGGGCGGGTGTCACTGGTCAGAGGGGCCGGTCGAGGCAGAACTCACCTTGCACACTGTCGCAGGCCAGTGGTGAACCATAATTAGTTTATGCCACTCATGGCTGTCACTGTTAAAAGACAAGGGACATATTTTTCAGGAGCTTTTTAAATAGTTACAGAAAGATCAATTCATCCATCCACTCATGCCAGTGTTCATTCAGGGAACACGGGGCGCCTGCCGCAGGGCCGGCGCTGCAGCTGCGCACGCGGCCCTGACACAGCTGGGGGACCAGGTCCCTACCATCCTGCAGCGCACCTGCCAGCGAGGGGGACGACGGCCGTGCCAACTGAGGACGCACGGGGACGTGCGGGGACGCACGGCGCCGAGGGCCAAGGACTGTGACTAAGGAGGACGGCAGGCCTGCCAGGTGGGGAGAGGGTGGAGATTTTGGATCAGGCAGCCGGGAGGGGCCCCGCTGAAGGGGAGCAGAGAGCGGCAGTGAGGGAATGAACGAGAAGGTGCCCTTCCCCTCAGGTGTTCACACGGTGCAGACACAGACCCCTTACCCTTCGGCAGCATTTGTGAGACCCAGAAGCCTGAAAACAGAATGGTTTTCGTAGCTCACGTGGCCACAGAACATCACCTAGGGTGGCACGCGAGGCTGCTGTCACCACCCCACCCACCGGGAATCTTTACTCGTTCTCTGTAGGATGGGTGACGTCTGATCCGAGGGGCTCCTTCCCACGTCCCCGTGAAACCCACCGGTCCCTCCCTGAGACTCCATGAGGGGTCGTGGAGTAGCATTCACACGGCGACCCTCCCTCCCACCAGGTGTGCAAGGCTTAGCACACACAGAGACAGAGGCAGAAAGGCCGGCTTGTGAAAATACTCGCTGTACAGACGGAAAACAGCAGCAGCAACAGGGGATACAACTCAAGCAGACACGTAATTCAGGATAAATGCATTTTTAGAAGCAAAGACTCAACAGCAAAACGGTATTAAGTTCTCACACATTAGTTTTGTAAATAGTTGAGTACTGCTGAATAAGTAGAGAATTCACGACATTTCGAAACTTTTTTCAGTCTGAACTAAATGAGCAAGTGCTCAGTACAAGAGAACAGAGAACTGCAGCACGAGCGTTAGAGCTGGGAGAAGAGTTGTTTGTTTGTTTTGTTTTTGTTTTTTTTCTGGGTACGAAAACCTTATTTCACATAGGTGGAAACTGAGGCTGGAAGGTCTGGCAGAGGCCGGGAAAACTAGACCACCAGTATGCAGCTTACAATAAAACTACCAAGACTCACAACGTCTGTCACACGATAGCCACCTACCACCCAGAGAGAAACATCCTCCCAAAGCGGCGGAGATGCTGACTGTGCTGTAAAGAGAAAGGCCCGCTAAGCAGAGAAAGAGGACCTGGGAAAACACCCGCTGACCTGTGAGGCTCTCAGGGTCTGAATCACCCGCACGTTCTCGAAACCATGCCTTGCTCGCCAATTCTATCAGTGGCATGAATCGCGAGAATCAGCTGGAGGTGACCACATACTACACATACTACAGCCTAACGTCTTCGCTGACATGTATTGATTACTATCGGGCAGGCATGGTTCTAAGCACATTCTGTACTTTAACTGATGTCTCCTGGCACCAAGGCTAGGAGGCAGGTGCTGTTACTCTCTCGACTTTAGGATGAACGACCTTGATGGAGAGCTCCAAGGTCCTACATCTGGATATAAGCTAGCAGTTCATACTCAACCCGTGCACCCACTACCTCTTCGATGATACACTCTTAAGTTGACAGCAACAATTAGTTAATTAATGTAGCTCTTTTTCAGAAAATACACTTTCTGGGAAAACTGAAATTTAATGTTACTTTTTAAAGTGATAAAAGAGCAACAGTGGTTCGTTAAAAAAGAAAAACAATTTACATTCCCACCAACAGTGCAAGAGGGTTCCCTTTTCTCCACACAGCCACTACGGAGAATAGTATGAACTTTCCTTAAAAAACTAAAAATAGACCTACCACATGATCCAGCAATCCCACTACTGGGCATACACCCTGAGAAAACCATTAATTCAAAAAGACACACGCACCCCAATGTTCACTGCAGCTCTATTTACAATAGCCAGGTCACGGAAGCAACCTAAATGCCCATCGACAAACAAATGGATAAAGAAGATGTGGTACATATGTACAATGGAATGTTACTCAGCCATAAAAAGGAACGCAGTTGGGTCATTTGTAGAGATGTGGATGGACCTAGAGACTGTCACACAGAGTGAAGTAAGTCAGAAAGAGAAAAACAAATATCGTATACTAATGCATATATGTGGAATCTAGAAAAATGGTACAGATGAAGCTATTTGCAAAGGAGAAATAGAGACACAGATGCAAAGAACAAACGTATGGACACCAAGCGGGGAAAGAAGGGGGTGGGATGAATTGGGAGACGGGCATTAATATATACACACTACTATGTATAAAATAGATAACTAATGAGAACCTGCTGTATAGCACAGGGAACTCTACTCAGTGCTCTGTGGTGACCTAAATGGGTGGGATGGGGGCTGGGGTGGGAGGGAGGTCCAAGAGGGAGGGGATGTGTGTATACACACAGCTGATTCACTTCGTCGTACAACAGAAACCAACGCAACGTTGTAAAGCAGCTATACTCCAATTTTTAAAAAAAAAGAAAACTGACCTTTTCCCAGGCCTGCGAAGTAAGTATGAACTCGTTCTGTTAACTGAAGCATTACCCAAATAAAACAGAAGAAAATTAAAATCTGGTTCTCAAATCTCGGTCTCCACTACCTTAGTAAAATGAGACTCCTCTCCCAGACAGGCTGTTTACCCCTTACACTGTCAGCTGCAACAGAAAGGATGGAAAGAGGGAACGAGAGGGAGCGGAGGAAGGAAGAAAGAAACCTGGAAAGAGGAACCACGACCACCTCACCAGGATACTGGACCCTGGACGGAAAGCGTGCGCGCAACGCCCCCGGGAGACGCTCGGAGGCTCCGGGCACCCGTGTCCCGCTGCAGGCCCTCCCGCCCCCCACCCCGCCCCTCCGCAGCTCACCTCCTCCAGAGCCCGCGCGCGCCGCCCAGGCAGCACAGCGCCAGGTACAGGGCGCCCAAGTGGGCCACGGGCTTCATCGGCCGAACCCGGCGGAGGACCCCGCAGGGGCACCAAGGCGCGGCCTTCCGAGGGCGCGAGGCCTTGTCCAGCGCCAGGCCCTGCGCTTCCCTAAAAAGGGGCAGATTTCCTTAAGCCGACCGTGCACCGGGCCGGCGGCCACCGAGCAGCGCGGCCAACAGCTGCCCACGGCCGAGGACGCGGCGGGCCCCCGAGAGGCTCCGGAACCCCGCCCGCCGACCACCGGGAGCCCCAGGGGCCCCGCTACCTCACCGGGACCTCCAGGCGCACAGCACTTCCGGCCCGCGCGGACCGCGACAGTCGCCTGGACCCCTCGACCCAAGCCGAGCCCTGCTTGTTTCCGCCCCGGGCGCCTGACGTCACGCCCCCAGCCCGGGACCAGCCCACAGCCTCGGACTCGCCCAGGGCGCCCCAACGCCACGCCCCTGTGCGACCGACGCGCGCCCGGCTGGCGAACATGCCACGTGAGGCCCCGACGCCACGCCCCTTCTGGAGGACACGCCCCTCCTGGAGGACACGCCCCCATCGGGAGGACAAGCCCCCGGCCCAGGTCAGTCCTTCTGCCCCCTCGCCTCTTCGACGCGGCTTCCCTTTCGGTGTAGCTCCCGGCCGCCTTTGGCCCGGACCCGTGAAGTCGACTTTAAAGCCACCTTCTCTGATGTCCTCGGTGCCGCGGCCCCTCCTCCCGGCGTTGAGCTGCCCGGGAGCCGGTGCTGTCAGGGCCAAGTGGCCAGCCCGTCAAGGAGTGCGACAGTGTGTGGAGACAGCGGCTTGGGGCCGCAGAAAAGTGCGGGGAGGAGGCTGCTCCCTTGGGGCCAGGCTGTGTTCAAGGAGGTGCGACCCTCGGGACCCAGCAGGCAGAGAGGCGCGTGTGCCATGTCCTCCCCACCACAGGGATGTTAGGGGCAGCCCTCGATCCCTGGGCAATCATGTCTGACCAGCTCCAAGACCGCAGAGGGCCCCCCTACCGTGACCCCACGCGATTCCCTTGGTCTCTGCTCCATTCACATGAGCCCCGCTGTGTGCAGCACTTCACAGACTTAGAGCTGCAGGACCGTTGGGGCTGAGCCTGGGAACTGAGCCTGGGAACTGAGCAACGGGCAAACGGCAAATCAAGCCTGTGCCGGCACCCTCCTCCAACCACACAGTGAATGTCCTGGGTCTAAGAACCAGGGAAGTGCAGATCCATCAAAGCAATGCTCAGTTCCATGGGCGGGGGAGAGCGGGAGGTAGTGGACTTCTGTATGACCGCCTGCCCACCTCTGCCACATCCTGCACAGTCCTGTATCCACACTCCTCCTCCTGCATCCTCAGAAACTAACCCTCAGAGATTGCGCCTGGCCCCTGGGTTCTCTGTGGCTCTGTCAACTTTCCCTTTCCACTCTACTGCCAAGGGGTGGGCAAACCAAGTGGGACCAGAGGTGCCCTCCCAGGTACAAAAGCCTTTCTGGGTCCCCATTTCTTATTTGTAGCAAAAGGCTTCGGCCTCCTAGACCTTCCCTGAGCTCCAAAGGGCGGACTCAAGCAGCTACTAATTAGGGAAGTGAAGGAACACAGAGACAGAGGAAAAGCAGTCAAGAAACAGCAGTGCAGTGATAAAGCAGAGTCCTAGTTCCTCCTCAAGGGATAAATATATATATATATATACACACACACATATATGTATATATGTATCGATATATTTTTCTCTACAGGAACTAGGGCCGCCACCCAGGTGGAGGATGGTAACTTCAGGCTGAGCACAAGATTCCTGGCGCCCCGCCCTGTTACCTCATCAATCAGAAGAAGCCACACACCCCACAGCCCTCACCCCAAATTTTGCCTATAGAAACTCTTCCCCCCCGGGCTTCCCTGGTGGCGCAGTGGTTGAGAGTCCGCCTGCCAATGCAGGGGACGCGGGTTCGTGCCCCGGTCCGGGAGGATCCCACGTGCCGCGGAGCGGCTGGGCCCGTGAGCCATGGCCGCTGAGCCTGCGCGTCCGGAGCCTGTGCTCCGCAACGGGAGAGGCCACAGCAGTGAGAGGCCCGCATAACGCAAGGAAAAAAAAACAAAAAACAAAAAACAAAAAAACTCTTCCCCGAAAACCATTGGAGAGCTCGGGGTTTTTGAACACGAGCTGCCTGTTCTCCTTCCTTGGTTCTGCAATAAACCTTTCTCTGCTTCAAATTCCCATGTTTGGGTCTGTTTGGCCTCACTGCGTCGGACAACAGTGGCTCTACAGTTAGGTGTGGATCTAATTAGGTCACTCCCCTGGAAAAACTTTCTGGGTCTCCCCACTGATCTCTGGTTTTTGCTTTTTATGACCACGCAGCATGCAGGATCTTAGTTCCCTGGCCAGGGATCAAACCCACGCCCCCTGCAGTGGAAGTGTGGAGTCTTAACCACTGGACCACCAGGGAAGTCCTCCCCATTGGTCTTTGGATGAGCATCAAAGTTCTTAGCCTCACAGCTCAGCGGAACAGATCGCTGTACAGGACAGAAGTGCACATCCATCCCAGAGGCCCTGGCTCCACCCCACAAACGCTGGCCTTGTCATTCCTCAGCCACTGTCTCTGCTAAGATGCTCCCCTCACACCATCCCCATCCCCACATGCTACCCTAGTTAATGCCCATTCGTATTTACCTTTTGAGTAAAATATGCCTTCCTCAGGTTCCTCTGCCATCCAGGACTGTCTAAGTGCACGGGTAATGTGCCCTCCGGCTTGTTACTCACCCACATAGTACACACCACTATTTGAAATGAAATATGTGTGTGATTATTCCATTCACTTCTGTCTTTCCCTGTAGACTGCAAGTCAACACTCATATCTAGTTTACTCACCACCAAGTCCCCGCTGCCTGGCACGATGGATGGCAAGTAGTAGGTGCTCAGTAAAATAGCGCCTGTGGAAGGAATGCATGAGCTCCTCCGTGGTCTTATGCAGCGTTGTGCCCTTCTTGCCTTCCCCGTTTCTCCAACTGCTTGCCTCTTTCAGGCTCCTTTAACCACTTCCTCTAAACAACCTAGGCACACCCCACAATTCTGTCCTCTTCCCTCTCTTTTAGGCTAAAAATATCCATTTCTTAAAACAAAATCACCTCCCATAAACCTAGTTCTCCCTTGAACCATGGTCCATCTGTGTAAATCTCTCCTCCGTGGGGAGGGCTTTCCTAACCACAGCCAAATAAAAACAGAACCTGACTTAGAAAAGATTTTATTCTCGAGGATACTGCAGGGCGAGGGGACTCTAGCAACAGCAGAAAGCTCTGACTTGAAGGTCTGCAAGCTTCTCAAGGGTTAGGCAAAAAGGGCTTTCTTTACAAAGAGGGGTAAACACAGCTAGAAAGAACCGGGGGTGGGAGATGGGCTGGGAAGGTGTCTTCCTGGGAGAGGACGTCAGGAGGGGCTCCTGCTGGCCTGCGTGTGCTCAGGAGGGGCTCCTGCTGGATCTGGGTGAGGCTGGGCCAAAGGTCTAGGCCTGGAGGAAAGAGAGAAGCTGAACGGAAGGTTGGTTACTGAGCGTCATGTTCTGAATGACCACTGGGGACTGAAGTGAGTTGAGGAATGGGAATTCGGAGGGTCCGTGTCTGGCCTTGTCCCAGGTAAACAGGGGCATCTTGCAGTCGTATCTGAGTCCTTGCAGTTAGCTGTTTTCTGGAACACAAAGGGCAGGGAGACTTTTTAACCTTCTCTGTGGTTCAGGATCACAGGCTCAAGTAAAATTCAGCATCGTCACCACTGGCTACTGCATCACCTTGTTTATTTTCAGCAAGGCTCTCTTCATCGCCTTTGAGTTTCCTATTATCTCTGTGTTCAGCCTCTCCACCCCTTCCTCACCCCACCCCCCAGGGTGCATTGACTGTGAAGCTGATGAGGGTTCAGCTCAGGCCCCTCACTGGCATGGGCCTCCAAGGCCCTGTCCCTCATTTTGTATTCATGGGTTTTTGTTCCGGTTCTCAGTGAGGGACCTCCAAATTGTACAACTTTTCAACCCCCAAACCTGGATCTGGACCTGGGATGTCATCTTTTTCAATGCTGTCCACCTAGCTAGATCCTAAACAGAGCAGAGGGAGAGTCCAATAAACGTACAAGAAAGAAGGTATAGCACAGGGAACTGTATTCAATGTCCCATGATAAAGCATAATAGAAAAGAATATAAAAAAGAATGTATGTATATGTATGGCTGAGTCACCGCTGTACAGCGGAAATTGACGCAGCAACCTTGTCAATCAACTAGACTTCAATACACAAAAAATGTAAAAAAAAAAAAAAATGAAGACGGTGGGAGGGGCAGCTGGGGTCCAGGCCAAACTGGGGCTCTGGAAGCCGGCAAGCTGTCACAGGGACAGGTGAAGACGCTTGATGGCTGTAGCCTCAGGAGGTTGGGAGGAACCCGAGTGGTAAGGTTACGCGCTCCCACAGCGCAGCGTAAAAGAGTACAAATCATGCTGTTTAAGAGATGGAGTTAGCTTGTGAAGAAGCATGTCCACAGGAGGCAGGGGACGAGATGGCAACAGCCATTTCAATGACCAGATCGGCCTTAAACCAGTGCTGATGCCTCAGACTCTCAGGAACCTTTATTGCACAACTTATTGATTTGACTCCCTTTGCTTTCCTGTTCCCAACTCAGGAAACACTGCAGGTTATACTGCAACACCAAACCCCTCCCAAATCTCAGGGCTTCACTAACTACACCAACAAAGGTCAATCTTTGCCCGCCGTGTTCCATGCTGGCGGTGGGTCAGGTTATTTTCACTCTGGGACCCAGGCTGAAGGAACAGCTGGACCTGGTACCTGCCTTTCCAACGGCCCAGCGGTGGCAGAATCACACCCGGGCTCTGATCCCTCAGCATCTGACATCTGGTCTTCTATTCAAATTCTTTTCGCCAGAGCATGTCACATGGCCAAGGCTGGTGACAACGAGGAAGGAAATGTACACCTCCCACGGGGGAGGGCATTGTAGTCACAGAGCAAATGTTGAGAGCGTTCGGGGAACGTCAGCCAATAGCTGGGAAAAGTAACATGGTCCACCGTCAGTGAGGAGGCGGAAAGAAGGTCTTGAAAAGCCAAGTGGGAAAGCGGAGGGTGGGAGGTGGGCACAGGTTGCCCGTCTGTGCTGGCCGGGGGTGTGCCCGTGCTTCCCCATCCCCCCACCAGAGACGCCCAGTGGGCGGAGTAACAGGAACCACGGAGCAGCACAGATTTGGCTGAAAAGCCCCGGGTGGGCGTGCAGCACCCGCTGGTGGGGGACTTGTCAGATGCGAACTGATAAACACGAGCGCTCA